CTGTAGTGTCATTACTGAATTACTTTGTAACGCGTTACACCCAACTCTGCTCCTACTGCTCTAGAGATGGGCGAGTCCTGATTCATCCGGATCATTAACCCGGATCCTAGAAATGAGCTGGTCGTGACGAGTCTCCCCTCTCCATTAACCCGAGTCCTTGAGTCCCACACTTGGTGTGACGTACAAATTAAAACTATAAATTGCGTCACTCGCTACTCTCTTTATAACATGTAAAATCACATTACAGCGTACCCCAGTCCATCTACCTACCCTTTAGCAAGTAGGATAGCTGCCAGAAGTGATCGTTTGGCTCAGGGGAGGGGACGCGGATCAGTGAAACTTCCTGCAGACTCGTCATGTGCACGAGCATAGCCCCTCCTCCAGCACCCGGCTCCCGCACGAGTCAACAGCAGACTCGCAGATTCACAGATTCGCAAATCCTGACTCGCTGCAACACACAGCGGATCAGACTCGTGCGGACTCGGAGCCGTAACCATATAGCGGCAGATCCAGAGATCCAGCAGACTCGTCGTCATGCACGAGTCCACAGCAGACTCAGATTCGCAAATCCAGACTCGTGCGGACTCGGAGCCGTATATAGCAGCAGATCCAGAGATCCAGCAGACTCGTCCTCATGCACGAGTCAACAGCAGACTCAGATTTGCCAAATCGCAAAATAACCCTTTTTTTTGTGATCAACATTTTTTATTAAAGCAAAATACACTGTGTAGCGGAGGTTAATATAACGTCAGTTTAATAGATAGATAGATAGATAGTACTTTATTGATCCCAAATTGGGAAATTGTTGTTACAGCAGCATAAAAGGCATTTTACAATAAAACAAAACTACAAAATATACAAGAATAGAAAGAAAAATAAAATAAAATATAAAATATAAAATATACATGTCGAAATAGAAAATATACATGCAGATATTATATATATATATACAAATATATATATATATTCAAAATATATGGAATAATAATATGCTCGTGAAATGCATCAACTTTTCGGTTTCACCAATAGGATTTCTACGGTCTTGGTGATGCTGACTCATATGACTCAAATGACTCGTATGATCCGGATCTCTTCAATGACTGACTCAGAAGACCCTGAGTCCGTAAAAGGATCTGGATTTGCCATCTCTATACTGCTCCTCCTACACTCTCCCCCGCTCACCTACACTCCCAGCTGCACGGAATACCCGGAGCGGATTCCACTCCCCTCCGCCTCCCAACACATATAACAAGCCATTTCTCCCCACCATCAAGCCCCCCTCCTCTGCTCCACCGCCCCCCCTCTCGTGCCCACCCCCGCGCTGCTAACCTGGACAACCTCATACCTCTCCAGCCTACCACCACCCCTCCAACCCCCCACTTGACCAATCTTGCCCTCCTCAATATCCGGTCACTCAACAATAAAGCCCACATCCTTCACAAACTAATTCTGGACAAATCCATCGACTTCCTTCTGCTCACTGAAACCTGGCAACAACCCAATTGTTTCTTCTCCCTCAATCAAACATCCCCCCCTGGTTTTAATTACATCACTAAACCCCGCCCCTCACGCCGTGGTGGTGGGCTGGCTGTCATCTACAACCAGAACATCCGGATTACAGAACTCACCCTCCCCTCAGTACCATCCTTTGAATTCCTCGCTTTCAAAGCCCCTCCCTCACTGACAGTTATCCTCATCCTAACCCCTCCTTCCTCTCTGATCTCACTGAACACCTCACCATTGCTTCATCCCTCTCCCCACGTCTGTTACTCCTCGGCGACCTCAACATCCACGTGGACTCCCCCACCTGCAAGCACGCTTCTGAATTATATTCCCTTCTGGACAATTTCTCACTTACCCAACATGTCACCTTCCCCACCCATGATAAAGGACACATCCTTGACCTTGTCTGCTCCACCAACCTCCCAGTACTCAACCTCCACCCCTGCCCCTTTCCCCTCTCTGACCACAAACTCATACAGTTCACCATCGCCTCCCCCGTCCGCCCCCCCCCCCCCCCCATCCAGGAACATCACCTTCCGTAAATTATGCTCTGTCGATCCCCAGCATCTCTCCGACCTGCTATCCTCTACTCTCCCCCTGGACTCGAACCTCAGCTCACCCGATGACCTACTCAACCACCTTAACTCCACCCTACTCGCCTCCCTCAACAGCCTCGCCCCCCTCAAAAGGAAAAATGTCACTTTTAAAACCTCCTCACCCTGGTTCACCCCTGCACTCCGTAAATTGAAGCAAACCGGCCGCCAGCTGGAACGCCTAACCAATAAATCATCACCACAAATCCTACAAACTCCATCTCACTACCTACAGAGACGCCCTCACTGCCGCAACAACTGCTTACCTCTCCACCATCTTTACCGACCCCTCCCATAACCCCAGGACCCTCTTCTCCACCGGCAATAAGCTCCTCAAACCCCGTGCTGACACCCTCCCTTCCTCCACTTCCACTTTATGCAGTTCATTCCTCCAGTTTTTCTCCGACAAAATCACTGCCATTAATCTCTCCCTATCCGCGGCATCTGACACACAAACATCTCCCCCAACATCCACCGCCACCATTTCCTTCAAAACTGCTGCTGTCACTCCCATCCTCAAGAAACCCGGTCTGGATCCCTCCTCCCTCAGTAATTACCGCCCCATCTCCAACCTCCCCTTTCTCTCAAAAACAATAGAACGCATCATCTCCAAACAGCTCCACCGCCATCTCCAAACAAATCACCTTTTTGAACCCCTTCAGTCTGGTTTTCATCCCCACCACAGCACAGAAACGGCCCTCATCAAAGTCCTCAATGACCTCCTCACCTCTGCTGACACCGGTTCCCTCAACATCCTCATCCTCCTCGACCCGAGTGCAGCCTTCGATACCGTGAGCCACAACATCCTGCTCACCCGACTCCAGGACATCGGTATCGAAGGTACTGCACTCAGGTGGCTCCAGTCCTACCTCTCCAACAGATCCCACTTCATCACCCTCAACAACCACTCCTCTGCCACAGCTTCAGTCACCCAAGGGGTTCCCCAAGGTTCAGTACTCGGCCCCCTCCTCTTCATCATCTACATCCTCCACCTTGGTCAGATTCTCCGCCATTATAACCTTGACTTTCACTGTTACGCCGACGACACCCACATTTACCTCAGCACCAAATCCCCCCACAACCCCTCCCTCACCCACATCGACTCCTGTCTGACTGCAATAAAATCCTGGATGCAACACAACTTCCTCAAACTCAACAGCAATAAAACTGAACTCCTCCACATCGGCTCCGAATCCATCCTCAGCAAAACACCCAACCTGACACTCACCATTGATGGCACCCCTGTTTCCCCCTCCACCCAGGCACGCAACCTTGGCGTAATATTTGACCCCACCCTCTCCCTCGAGCCCCACATCCGCCAAGTTGTTAAAATCTAATTTTTCCACCTCCGCAATATTGCCAAACTCCGTCCCCCTCTCAGGTCTCTCCCTGCAGCTGAGCGACTCATTCACACCTTCATCTCTACGGCATCAGCACTACATCCCTCAGTAGACTCCAGCGTGTCCAGAACGCAGCCGCCAGACTCCTCACCCACACCAAATCATGGCATCACATCACCCCGGTCCTCAAAGAACTCCACTGGCTACCCGTTTCACACCACATCCACTACAAACTCCTGGTCCTCACTTACAAAGCCCTCCACCACCTAATAAGTCTTGCCGTTGCTGTTTTCTGATCAGAAGTTGTGTTCAATGGCATTAAAACGATAAAAACGCTGCTGAAGGTTAATCCATAGGTTAATCCAATGTGTCTGTGTCACTTTGAAATGATTACTGATCATCCGTCATTCCATTTTTGTCAAAAACTGAGATTTCATATTAGCTGCTATTAGAGCTACAAGCCAGCTTCCGGTTTTGGGCATTCTGGCTACGCATCACTCATTCACCAATGGGTGATGTTTAGATGGATTTTAGGAACTTCCCTCTCGATTCTCGGACCCAAATGACCTCAGAAGTGTTTTTTTTTTTTTAAATCTCTCTAAAAAGGTCAAATGTCACTTGTTTTGCATCAATCTTGTTACATGGTACTTATTATATGTTATAGTTTGGATTCCTAAAGCTTTTAGTCTACTGTACCATCATTCAAGGGTGGTTTTCACTATAAATCATGTTTTGTTTTTGGAAGGACACTATAATTTACATTTTTTACTATATTCAATCTGAATTAACTTTAACATTTAAAACATGTATATTGATTCTGACTTTTCTACATCCAACTCACTGGTTTATCATTGCTTTGAGAAAAAAGATTATTAATGTACACCTTTTAGAAGTCATTCGTTCTGGGAATGTCATTTTCGAGCCTGAGACCTGAAAAACAGGCTCAGGGGTTAACAGTATAACAATGTTTAACCACATTTTAATTTTAACTAGGAACATTGATAATAAGGGTATTTCAAACTTGTGAGACTACAACTGTTAAAACCTTGAGTATCAAGTAACCTGCCGACTACTACTACTAGTGGTACTAGTACTACTTTACAATCAACACTAACAGTCAGGGTTGCACTTTTATTGCTGAAATGATGTCCCGATTATTATGTTTATTATGAAGATCACAATTATTTATCTTTAAGATTCAAATATGTAGGAGACAAAATATGTTTATTGCACCTGCACATTTTGTGCAGGTGTTGAGCTCATGTACAAATATTTGCATTCCAATGAGACGTGGCAGAATCTGTGCTTTAGTATTAACACTGAGATTCTGTTCATATGAACACGTCCTCCTTCTTCAGCTTGAAGGCCGGCCTCTTAGGTTGCAGCCATGTCATATATTTGTTGTTCTTGTTTAATTTCCTTTAGAAACACGTTTTCCCTGTCTTTTAAGGAAGGATTCAGACTCATTTAGAACTGTGAGATTCTCACCCAGTTTTCCAGTCAGTCTAGTAATATCTTGTGGTCAGCAGTGTCAAATGCAGCACTGAGATCTAATAATAAGACCTTAACAAGAGCAGTCTCCGTGCTGAGGTGCAGTCGAAAGCCTGACTGGAACACATCAAAACAGTTAGTTTGATTCAAGAAGCCATACATGTTTATTATTTGATATACCAAGCCTGTTGTTATAATGTCAGGGCCGCAGGACGTGGATTTGATGTTGTGTAATGTCCTGCAGGTCTTTATCATTGATCAGATGGAAATGTGTACAGGTAATAATTTAGGTGTGTATTACACTGTATACATCTACATCTGTCTGTGGATACATGAATATTGGAATTAATGTGGAAATATAATACCTTGTTGTCAACACTATAAACACGGTACATTTTTTTCCACTTAGATACATGTTTAATCAGAACATTTCAAGACATTCATTTACTGACACTTTTGTTATTTCTGCCACCAGCCAACAGTTTATAACAGAGCACATGTTTACATATGTTTCTTAGTTTTGACATTTGCAGTCCGTACATGACAGGGTTCATTAGTGGCTGTATGATGAGAAAATACAGTGACAGAACAATACGCAGCGCCCTGGGAACACCGCTCTTATCAAATCTACTCTGAAACATTTCAAAGCCGCAGCCAAAAGAGAAGTTGAGGAGGGAAACAAGGTGAGGTGTGCAGGTACTGACAGCTTTCTGTCTGGTCTGCTTGGAACCAGAGAAACACACTCTGAGGATCTTAATGTAAGAGAAGAGGATTGGAAAGAGAGGGACAAAGATTGTGAGAACAGTACCAAAATATCCATAAATGTTGTTCACCTGAGTGTCAGAACATGCCAATTTAACTACAAGGTAGTTAGTACAATACAAACCATTTATTATGTTTTCACACAGTGTCAAACGGATATTTAAGGATAAAGTTATCAAAACCTTCACAAAAGAGTACAACCAAATGAGAATAATGAAGATGACCGCCTTGTTAGAAGTCATACGAATGTTGTATTGCAGAGGATAACAGATAGCAAGATATCTGTCATAGGACATGATGGCTAAATTACAAAATTGTATATTTACATATGTAAACAAGCAGAAAATCTGCAGGAAGCAGAGCGGAGCAGAGACAGTGTGAATGTCAGAGAGGATCTGAACCAGAAGGAATGGAAACAACCCTGTACTACCATACAGTTCATTTACGAACAGGCTGCACAGAAAAAGGTACATAGGTTCATGTAAGCTCCTGTTCACGCAGATAACCACAATCAGAGACGTGTTGGCAACAACAATCACAATGTATACAATTGTAGTTATCATAAAGTACAAGTACCCCAAATTCCCAACGTGGATATAAGTGCTAAGAAGGAAGTAGGATAAAGTAGAATTCACCATCATTGTAGTTTTAGGAGAGAAAACAATTGAACAACGATTTGCTTCTCATCTTTTAACTCTGAAATGAAGAAGACATTGTGTTTGATTAAAAAGGCATTGTTTTTTCTATCGGCAAGGCAAAATTAAATGAAAACACAGATTTGTTTTTATATTACATATCAGAATCCAGCAAAAACGTAAACCCTTACTGCCCAGTCTTTGTAAATGTGCAAATACATTTACAAAGATTATTTAAAATGACAGAGAAATATTTACCTTACACACAGCACAACATTAGTCACCAGCAGTGCTGCAGGAACTAAAGGGAGGCTGCTTCAATATCGGCTTTTTAAACCTGTTCATGACAACATGTCCAAACAGACGTCCCACAGAAGGTACCGTAGTAACCAACTAACAGACCTTGACCTTAGGGTCAAGTAGTGTTAAAAGTGGGGATGACAGAGAAAGTCAATACATGACCAAAGTACACAAAATCTTTAAAATCATTAAATAAATAGCCTTGGGTCCCGTGAAAGGTGCTTTATAAATTCCATTTATTATTATTATTATTATTATTATTATAGTAAAACAAATATTTGTTTGTCTCCACGGCTCATCACTGTGTTCAATGGCCGGCGCCATGTACACTCATCGATAGCTCTCCGTAATTTCTATCGGAGGGGGTTACATTATGAGCCAGGTGAAATGGATGGTGGGTACATTCGTGCTGAATACACAGGGAGGTGCAAGGCGTCCACTTCGAATACACCGTGTCCATCAGTAGGGTATTCTAAGTGTACGTCCTCTTCAAATACTTAACTGCAGGATCTGGGGTATTTGAAATGTAAAAGGTTATATCTCCACATTGCAAAGATACTGGGAGCTGATACTTGAATTCTTTCATGCAGCCAACCCAAGGATTCAGCGGTGTGAAAACGGAGACGTTTGGACAATGTCTAATTTGCCCGCCCTTTTTACCCTGTTAAGCACCAAGCCTATTTTTCATGTTTCAGGCTCGAAAATGACATGCCCAAAACAAATGACTACAAGTTAACTTCTAAAAGGATTATATGAATAATTTCTTTTATCAAAGCAAGGTTACATCTGTACATCTGATGTAGAAGTGTCAGAATCAATATAGATGTTTTTTATTTTAAAGAAAATTCAGATTTTACATAGTAAAAAACTGTAAATTATAGTGTCCGTCCAACGATTATTTTTTACAGATAGTGAAAACTACCCTTGGATGATGGGTTAGTAGACTAAAAGCTTTAGGAATCCAAAGTACAACATATAATAAGTACCCTGTATCAAGATTGATGCAAAACAAGTGACATTTGACCTTTTTAGGGAGGTTTAGCCAAAACCACCCCACCTCTGAGGTGATTTGGGTGAAAATGTTTTTTTTTCCATATCTCTGGCCCCCCTTGGTCGATTTGGATGGTTGACACCTCTTTCTGACCGTTAGAGCCAATAGAATCGAAGGGGGGGCTCACACACACACACACGTTGTGAAGAGAAAAGGTGGGGGCTGCGCACATGTAAATGTGCAGCAGAGTGGACCGATCTCTCGCTCTGACATTTGGAAACGAAAAAGCAGTTTTATTGCTTATGGATTATCAGAAATAATTTCAAAGAGGACACAGATACATTCGATTAACCTATGGATTAACTGCAGCATCGTTTTTTTATCGTTTTAATGCCATTGAAGACCAGTTTTGACCAAGGTAAGCCATGTTAGCGTTTCTAGCTACCTAGCTCCACATGTTATGGGGCGGATGGTGCGTAACAGGTTAAGAACACGTTCTTTCAAATAAATACTAAAGTGTTGCTCGGTTTGGCTAGAGGACTCCACTAGCCAATCCGAGCAACACTTTACACTATGTGGAGCATGAACTGTGAACTCGCCGGAGCCTCGCAGAGCCTCGCAGAGACTCGCAGAGCCTCTCAGCGGTGCGACTGTTCACGCTAACGAAGGATCACTTCTTCTTCAGGGCAGGGGAGGCTATGCAGTACGCAGGCTACTGTCCCGCAGCTGCTGCCTCTCTGTTGGACTCCGGTACTTCACATTACTCACGAGACGTTTTTAAAAAAAAATTAAATCTTGAAGTGAAACATTCAGGGCTTTTCAGATCCGGGGCTTGAGCCGAAGTAGCTACCCCCTAGCGCCGCCACTGCTTAGGAGGCTGCAATTATGTGCCTGACACCCCATCCCATTTGTGAATAAGTGTTGTAAATATGGTACAACCACTCCTTGTGTGGTGTGAAAAGACCACCTGCAATTTAGATGCTCTCAAGGACATATAAGCAGAGTTATTGCACAACATTTTTTGGATCACTCAACTTTCGGCCGCGGTTTTGTCCCAAGAGCAGCGAGGGCCCTCGGGTTCCGAGCAGAGACTCCCCCGAACTTCCAGTTGGAACGACCACATCTTGGTCGCACTAGGTCACATTTTTTAAAGTGCGCTCAATATCCAACTTTAGAAGCCTCTTGCAGACGTCAAGTCTGAGAGGACGCTGAGATTTTTAGAGCATCACTGGGAAACTTATTATCTGGAGGGCCTGTTGCGCTGACTTTTAAATATGTCTGTCGGCACTCCATCCAACGCTGGTTTCAGGTCTCCACGTGCTCCGGAAGCTCTGCTGGAACACGTACACTTGGAGTTACAAATGAATGGTGGTTCAAAGGAAGGGTAATCCCATTGTTAAAGAGTCCTCTCCTGCTGATGTTCATGTGTATATCAGTATGTAGAGTCTCTTCTTTAAAGAGTCCTCTCCTGATGATGCTTAGGTGTATATCAGTATGTAGTGTCTCTACTTTAAAGAGTCCTCTCCTGATGATGTTCAGGTGTATATCAGTATGTCGTGTCTCTACTTTAAAGAGTCCTCTCCTGCTGATGTTCAGGTGTATATCAGTATGTAGTGTCTCTACTTTAAAGAGTCCTCTCCTGCTGATGTTCAGGTGTATATCAGTATGTAGTGTCTCTACTTTAAAGAGTCCTCTCCTGATGATGTTCAGGTGTATATCAGTATGTAGTGTCTCTACTTTAAAGAGTCCTCTCCTGCTGATGTTCAGGTGTATATCAGTATGTAGTGTCTCTACTTTAAAGAGTCCTCTCCTGATGATGTTCAGGTGTATATCAGTATGTAGTGTCTCTACTTTAAAGAGTCCTCTCCTGCTGATGTTAGGTGTATATCAGTATGTAGTGTCTCTACTTTAAAGAGTCCTCTCCTGATGATGTTCAGGTGTATATCAGTATGTAGTGTCTCTACTTTAAAGAGTCCTCTCCTGCTGATGTTAGGTGTATATCAGTATGTAGTGTCTCTACTTTAAAGAGTCCTCTCCTGATGATGTTCAGGTGTATATCAGTATGTAGTGTCTCTACTTTAAAGAGTCCTCTCCTGCTGATGTTCAGGTGTATATCAGTATGTAGTGTCCCTTGCACGACTTTCCCTAAGTGAGTCTCTGGAGCTTGGTGTCCTTCTTAGTCACTGGAGCAGCGTTCTGTTTTGTGGACAGGAAAGACAAGTCTCTGCGCCCCTGTATTGGATTTTGTGGTCTGAACGACACCACTGTAAAACATAGGTAACCCCTCTGACCCATCTAACCTGCTTTTGAACTCATGAAAGGCATTACTGTTTCCTCCAAACTAGACCTTAGAAATGCCTTTGATCTGGTTTGCATTCTGGAGGGTGATGAATGTAAGCACCCCCAGTGGCTGTTATCTTGGTCATGTCCTTCGATCAGACTAACACCCCTGCAGACTTCTAAGCCTTAGTGAACAATGTACTCAAGGACATGCTGAATATATGTGTCTTTGTCCACCTGCATGATATATCTGTTTTTTCCAGATCCCAGCAGGATTGTCATTTGAGGAGGGTCCTGCTTCTAGAGACCCATGTCTTTCTGAAGGCAGAGAAATGTAACTTTAATATCCCAGAGGATTCATTTTGGGGGGGTTTTGTTCAAATGTGGAAGCTTCCAGATGGTTCTAGCCAAAGTCCATGCAGTAACGGAGTGGCTTTAGCCCAAATCCCTCAAACATCTTCAGCGGTTTGTGGGATTTTCAAACTTTACAATACGCATAATCTGGAATCCATGCGCACTTCCAAAAGGTTCAATTGACCTCTTTAATCGCTTTTATTCACTGTCTCCTACCGGCAAGGTTCAAAGAAGGCCAAACCTGATGCCTCCTCTACGCAGTTTCAGAAGCAGGAAAGCCCTGCAGAGGAGGAGGAGGTACTTCCCGTTTCCTGTGTGGTTGGTGCTCTGATGGGAAATTGAGGGTAAGGTCAAAAAGTCTCACGTTAACTCTTCTCTCCAAAAAAAGAGCTCTGTGTTGATAGTCTTCAACAGCGGGTATGTTTGAGTAGACTTAGGGCCTGTGGAGTTGAGGGGAAATGCAGGGTTTCATTCTGATGCTGTATACACTTCATGAACATACATGCACAAACAAGATCACATGCATTATTTGAGAGGTGGCAGAGCGAAGGGCTAATCAGAAGCAGATGGGGGTTCAGTGCCTTGCTCAAGGGCACCTCTGGCCTTTTGGTCCGAACCAGTGAACTTTCAGTACCCAAGCCAAGTCCCTACAGACCTGGCAGTGCAGCTGAGATCACAGATCACTCGCCTGGTACAGACTGCTATGAAAATAAAAAAACATCAATCCCCCCAAAACATCTATGAGTAGTCCATCATTAGACAGACACAAAACAAGTATGATCCCCCCCCCCCCTCATCCTCTACCCAGAGGTCCAGCTCTAAGCCACCAGTAGGAGATTCAGGGTCCCTTAAAACAGGTTAAACCGGTTGAAGCACTCATTCCTGCCAATAAGCTTATCAACAAACAGATGTAATGTATAGTTTAAATGTTGCTCATGAGATTTGTGCAACAGGTCGCCATTGTCAGTATGTTGTCTGTGTATAAGTGTATGTGCAAATTGTGTATTTGCACATGTGCTAATATGTTATTGTCTTTTATCGTGTACTTGGTAGTTTCTATGATTTTTATCTTTTGTGGAACTGCAGGACAGAGTCCAGAACTCATTTCCTTTTGGGGATAATAAAGTTTATCGTATCGATTCTAAACTTTTAGAGTCTGGAAGTTTAAACGCTTATGCAACACTTACTGACTGTTACACTCATATTCTCGTGTGTGTGTGTGTGTGTGTGTGTGTATGTGTGTGTGTGTGTGTGTGTGTGTGTGGTGTGTGTGTGTGTGTGTGTGTGTGTGTGTGTGTGTGTGTGTGTGTGGTGTGTGTGTGTGTGTGTGTGTGTGTGTGTGTGTGTGTGTGTGTGTGTGTGTGTTTGCCCGAGGGGAGGTTATCACCGGCCTCTGATTGGTCTCACTGGTCCTCGCCTCGGGGGGATAAGTGGAAACTGTTAAACGTGACAACAGGACAAACGTACATGCTGACGGCCAGCTGACCTCTGACCTCAGGGACTTCATTAATGCGGTGATGATGCAACCCCCCCCCCTCCCAATACCAAGAGAGGTTGCATCAGCTACACGAGAGGAATGTTTTTGTACTTCACTTTTCATATTATATTTAAATTATCAGACACTTTTATCTTAAATAGCTTACAATAGGTTCTAAGATCTCCAACTTTATATAATGGATGCACTGATTCTGGGCAGATACCAACGTTTCTTTTCATTTTTTTGTAATTAATCCCCAAATAATCGACTTGCCAGCTCATAGAGTCTTGTTGTGAAATCGGAAATGTTGAGTACCCCAAAGTGTTATGATATAAATCTATAGTACAGATCCCCAGCACATATGCATTGTATGGCTTCCATGTGAAAAAATGGCTTGGCTGATTTTCAATGATATTGGAGTGGTTTTGGGGGTACCTGAGAATGCTTAATACATTTCAGGATAAAAAATGACAGTTTTGTGCCAGAAAGGGCCATAGTTACTCCTGGTGGGCCGATTTGATAAATTAGGACTCGATTCTGAAGATAGGATGCTGGATTCATTGGATAGGACTGATGAGGGATGTATTTGAAATATTTAGGGTTCAGTTCAACCGGTTTCATTTTTCATATGTTCGTATATGTTCATAAAATGTTTTTTGAAATAGGCAACAAAACAAACTTCAAAAGAGTAAAATACTTTTTATTATTATTCAAATTAATTATGTGTTAGATAAGATAACTTTCTTCATAATAAATGAAACAAACATTTACACATGTTTTATATTTGTACCTTTGTTAATGGACCTCATAGATGTGAAGAAATAAGTAAATAAAAAAACGGATATTTACTGCTCATTTAAATCCTACACATGATTAAAGAAACAAATCGAAATATATTTTTTTTAATTATATTTAAACACAGTATATAATAAAATATTATGTATATCAGTATGTAGTGTCTCTACTTTAAAGAGTCCTCTCTTGCTGATGTTCAGGTGTATATCAGTATGTCGTGTCTCTACTTTAAAGAGTCCTCTCCTGCTGATGTTCAGGTGTATATCAGTATGTAGTGTCTCTACTTTAAAGAGTCCTCTCCTGCTGATGTTCAGGTGTATATCAGTATGTAGTGTCTCTACTTTAAAGAGTCCTCTCCAGCTGATGTTCAGGTGTATATCAGTATGTAGTGTCTCTACTTTAAAGAGTCCTCTCCTGCTGATGTTCAGGTGTATATCAGTATATAATGTCTCTACTTTAAAGAGTCCTCTCCTGCTGATGTTCAGGTGTATATCAGTATGTAGTGTCTCTACTTTAAAGAGTCCTCTCCTGCTGATGTTCAGGTGTATATCAGTATGTAGTGTCTCTACTTTAAAGAGTCCTCTCCTGCTGATGATCAGGTGTATATCAGTATGTAGTGTCTCTACTTTAAAGAGTCCTCTCCTGCTGATGTTCAGGTGTATATCAGTATGTAGTGTCTCTACTTTAAAGAGTCCTCTTCTGCTGATGTTCAGGTGAAATGAAACTTTATCACAACAGGCTATAGTGGCGAGATAGTAGGATGTAAACAGGTATAAGTCTAAGTGTAATTAAAATACATTAAACTGTAAAGATAAGCATTAACAGTTAATAGACACATATCAACAGTAGAAAATATAATATTTTCACTGAAAAGAGTAAAGACTAATGGAAAGAGGTGCAGTACACAATTAATAGCATGAAAATTAATCAGTGTACCAGAAACTAATATTGTCATCTCACTGAAGTCAGAAATCGCAAGGCCTGTACAGTATGTATGTATGGAATACATCAGAGACATACAAAATTACAAATTCAATGATACTCAATTCCTGAACTATACTAGACACACCGCAATACCCATATAATTGTCTTCCAATGAACATATTCTCCCAAGGACAATTAACTGTTGAAGAGGCAGGTTATAATAGAACCTTGACAAACATATGCTATGAACTGCACAAATAGCACTTTCACAACAATGACACAGGTCAATATGTCATCTAAACATGACATTAGCAACATTAACAAACATCTCCACTTATCAACATGCGGCTTATACAAACAAACCACATCTCTGCAAACTGTTGGGGTTATGATTGAAATTACTTTCCCATGAAAGAATGTACATGGGACTTTCAGCCCTTTACCATTTCTTCACTAAACGCATCTACTCAGAATGTGAGGCTATTTAGAACTTAATATACAACTGCTTCAATTGTAACAGCATGTTTACAGTGCCAATTGGTGCTGAGGCCTGTAAATCAACTGCCTCTTTCCCGCCATGGGCTCCAAATCATATGAAGCTCAGCGCAAGTTCTTTCAGGAAGACTGGGTATATACATTCACTCCGCAGCTGCATATAATCAGCTCATCACGGGCGTTCTCTATAACCTATTACATTCACCTCATTCTCCAGCAGCCAATCACTGTGCTGCAGCCACATTTTAAAATGGTTCTCCTCTCTCCTGCAGTCAGCTGTGATTTCAGGTTCTCATGCTGCCGCCTGCCTCCTCCCCATCCACCTCCTTTCATCATATCCAGTGCCAGGAGAGTTAACCCAAAGACCTCATCACACCTCCTCTTCATCCCATCTCCTCATCAAATCCAGATCTTCAGCATCATCACCAGTGTCTAGACCCCGGGGGGTTCCCTATATGCTCACGGCTGCATTTCCCCCTTTAGATATACGATTTCAGGATCGGGGTCTAATCCCCAAAGACTTAACATTTATCATATGACATGTGTCAATAAATGTTCTTTAAGCAAAATGAAGTCTCTCCTGATTGAAGTGGCGTTGCTTCACTGTCCTTGTGCGCCAGGTGACGCTTGGGAAAGCCGCAGAACAGAAGACAGAACTATTGAGGAAATAAATGGTGTTCTTGGTGAAAAAGGCAGACGAGGCCACGCAACGCTTATAGGTTCATCTGCCCACTGCTTCCTTTACCAAGGACAGTATGTGATTCAGTCATTACAAGTTACCCTGTCATAACATTACATATGCTCTATATATATATATATGTGTGTATGGTATGTTAACCATATCTTCTGTGTTGCAACTGCAGCATCATCAAAGTCATCTATAACCATTACAGGCAAATATGTATTCATCACAATTAGGATCACCCAACATCATTGCCTGAGTGTGTTTGAGTGTTGAGGAATAATAATATGAATTCTACAAATAACAATAGGTCTTCGCACACTTCGTGCTCAGGCCCTAATAAAGTGCCCTCGTAGAAAAGACCCTAAATTATAAATGAGTGTTCTGAATTACTGTTAAAATATGGTGTTTTTATATCTAATGTACTGTTAGTTATGTATTCATTCAATGACAGTTATCGGGGGTCTCATAGGTGCCGCCACACTTTAAAAAGTGATGGGCTTCAGTGTAAAAGTGAAGGAATAAAGTTGTTTCGTGCATTAAGTTTATCGCAGGTGTGAATGATAAGTGAGTATTTATCCACTGTATTGCTTGTCACTGCCTTACATCGTAGCAGTTAAAGATCATTTAAGTTGCCAATGTGGCCGTTAATTCCGAGTGCTTCCTTTGTGATCACTCATTACATATTTGTAATGCACCGTAGTGAGGTCAGCTCAACGATCTCAGTGCTTCAGATCTTGATTGGTATGTCGAGTTCGACAAAGTTATAATTTGTTCCTCTCCAAAATAAGAGCAAATAAGTTTTGCAGTTAAGCAAAACTCACATTAAGCATCTGGCACAGACCAAAATATGACCGTCAATGTTAGCATAAAATTGAGCCATATAGCCTATTACCAAACACCAGGGCTGCAGTCGAATTGTCAGTTTAGCCTAGGAACCTTCCTAACGGAGTAAAATGACCCGGAAGTACCTCAGTGGCCGCCATGATAAGAGCCGTTCAAATTCTCTAGATCAGGGGTTTTCAAAGTGTGGGAAGTTGAGCCTCCCCTCAGAGAACATAAGAACAGCCGTGCACCCCCTCCCAATAATTATTGCTATTATTATTATTATTATTATTATTATTGTTGTTGTTGCTATAATGCAGGGGTATTCAATTGCATTTCAAAGATGTCCAGTAAGAGACTGTCGCTGTCTACCTTTCTCTTTTTTGAGCAGGCCATTTGAAATGACTCTCTTCTAATCTCGTCTCTGTGTGTGTTTGAATCTATCGCGCTGACTCACCGACTGCACCGATTTGATTGGCTGAGTAGCGTCACCTCCTTAAAACATTAAACAACAAGCAGATCATCCTCTGGCTGCAGCCTTGACCGGTACTTGCTTTTGATCAAAGTAGCCTAAGTATTATTACAATTAAAATAAAGGGCGGTGCCGGCCGTTCTGTGATTCGGATGGCCAGTCCGCCCCTGAGACGCTGTCTCCTATCTCACTTTAGGTAACTTCACTAAAAATCGATCCATGTTGCCAATCGCATAAAGTTAGCTGAAGTTAACTAGCTAGATTTCACTGTTTATCGTTATTTGTTTCTCACGCTGCGCCTCCCCATAAGCCCTCTGGCGCCCCCCCCGGGGAGGCGCGCCTCACACTTTGATAACCGCTGCTCTAAATGATAGGAGGTTTGAAACTTCCTTTATAACCTCCTTTAGCTTAGGAAACACTGGACCTTGCATTACGAAAGGAAAGGAGAAAATGCTGCCCCACAATGCCTTGCGGCCGCAGCATTTGCCGTCACACAACATTCGGCCGTTCACAGAAACAACCGATTATGACCGAGTACGGTGCTTATTAAGCATTTTAAAACGTATGTGGTAAGTTGCCAAAGTGCTTTGTTTTGAACGTTCATCAGTATTATAATCAAAAAGAGAAATATAAACGTTAGTTTTTACTGAAATGATCAAATAAAGTCAACATTTCACAGTCTTTACTGAGCTGTGTGGGGTTTGTTCAACTGTTAAAAGATGTTTGAATGGTGATATACACAGTGATAGATGTTAAGGACTGACGTTTATAATAAATACATTTGTATTGATTTTAAGATCTTTTTATACAATCATACGTATTGGGATCATTTGTATTAATGTGGACCGGAGGGAGAGGGTGACGAGCATAAGTTTCACTTTCCTTTTTTATTTCAATTCCAACTTTGGTCATGAACAATATGTTTCTCTGTTGTCCCCGTTCATAAAGCATAAAACAACAGCATCAGAGCACGGTGCAGAGTCTCTAGATGAGTTTACAGTAGTCCCTCGTTCTTATTAAACATCCATGTTGTAGTCCGCTGTATAGAAAACTGTAGTTTCCATAGTTTCCCCACAGCAGCAGACGCACATTTATGACGTCCGCTGGCGCATCATAAACACGTCGGATAGTGAAAGTGCAGTCGATTCTCTAAAGTACTGCAGTCTCTTCTCCTAAATCCTTTTGAATTCTCCTATCCACTATCCCTTAACCCCGTGACGTTTCACTCAGAGGTCAAGGGATAGACGATAGGAATAGACGATAGGAATAGACGATAGTAGCTGATTTTTGGACTATTCAACCTCGACCCTGGAATTACAAAACTCAATACCTGCATATGTATACACAGAGAAAATCTGCAGGAAGCAGAGCGGAGCAGAAACAGTGTGAATGTCAGAGAGGATCTGAACCAGAAGGAATGGAAACAACCCTGTACTACCATACAGTTCATTTACAAACAGGCTGCACAGAAAAAGGTACATAGGTTCATGTAAGCTCCTGTTCACACAGATAACCACAATCAGAGACGTGTTGGCAACAACAATCACAATGTACAACATGGCAGTTATCAAGAAACACAAGTACCTCAAATAACCAATATTCAAATAAGCTCCAAGAATGAAATAGGATACAGTTAGTGAAGTTGAATTGGACATCATTCTTAGAGGTTAAACGTTAGTATATCTGAGCACATTTGAACTTCACAGTCTTAACTTACCAATCCCCCCGGAGTGTGTCAGGAACTGTAAATGAATGCAACATGAGCACATCACACACAGTGCAGTGTTTCTCACCTGCTGTGCTGCACACTGCTGCAGTCCCTTCTGTCAGCTGCAGAGACTTCTGCTGCTTTAAAGCTTCCAGAACACCAGAACCCAACAGGCCAGGCCCCCTTAACATCAGGACCCAGACCAGCCTATCTGTAGGGAGAGATGGGATGTTGGTTGGGTCAAAACACATAATGTTAAAGTCGTGACTATGGCCCCTGTGACACTTCTTACACCCCCCCCCCCCCCCCCCCCCCCCACCAGAGTCAGGGACAGTTTCATCCCACAGGCCATAAGACTATTACACACCTGAGCTTGCACTATTTTAATTTGTATTATTGTTTTTATTTATTTTCCTATTTCTTTTAATTGCACTGTTGAGGAACCTGCGACCTAAGTTTGTCTTACATTGCATAATTACACCGTAGTTGTGTATATGTTAGGACAATAAGCGGATGAGCTTATCTCCATGTTTGACTCGACATGTACCCTAATATTGGATTCTGTTGCTCCTTTTACGCTTAGACGCACCAAAGTTCTCTCAGAGCCGTGGCTCAATGACTGTACTCGTGCTCTCAGAAGCGCTTGCAGGCGTGCAGAGAGAAAATGGAAGAAGGATAAACTCCATGTCTCTCTAGAAATCCTTCGTGCTTGCCTATCCGACTACCAGACGGCAGTCAAAGCAGCCAAAAGAGAGCACATTTCTCTGTTAATCTCCAAAAACAGCCGTAAACAACACACTCTCACTCCATAAATGTCCAGGAGCGACGCTTGGTCAGGGTCCCGAGGCGTGCAGTTGGGACGCTCCTAGGCTCCTTCAGCTTCATAAACTGACGCAAATAGCTTTCAACTGATTGCAATGTATTCCCATCTGCGGCGGGATTTGACGCTCATGGAAGCACGGCATTCGTTTGTGTCGGAGGCTGTTAAAGGCAATGTGTGCGTCCATTCCCATTGGATAACGGAGAATTGTACACCCGGAATTAAGTATTCCCCTTACTGTCGATTGATTTGACAGTGATATCTCCACTACTCATCAACTCAAAACACCAGATTATCCTTGTTAATTAAACGACATTGATAGGTTTTAGTGTGTGTACAATGCTTTTGTCACGTTTTCCCCTTCAATTCTGAGAAACAAGTCGTTTTCTATGAGTTTTGGATGGCCGAAGACATTACATTACCCACAATCCTCTGTAGCAATCCTCTGTAATTTTTGCTTAAAATTTCCTTAACCTCAACGAGAGCAAGACAGAGGTAATTATTTTTGGACCCCAGCCTCCAGCCTCTCCGGTTGATATTCTGGGCTCTCTCCACAAAAACATCCTCCCCCCTGTCATGAACCTTGAAGTGACCTTCGATAGCACTTTTAAATTCAATAAGCATGTCAGCTCCGTAGTCAAAACCTGCGTTTTTTTAAATAAGACTATTGGCCAAGACCAAGTCGTTTTTATCTTTTAAAGACCTAGAAAGGGTTATTAATGCCTTTGTTACCTCAAGACTGGATTACAGCAACGCTCTGTATGTGGGTATGGACCAGGCCTCAATTAGACGCCTGCAGCTAGTGCAGAACGCAGCTGCACATCTTCTGACTGGACACAAAAAGCGTGACCACATCACCCCAATTCTGGCGTCACTACACTGGCTTCCAATTCGGTTCCGAATTGATTTTAAACTTGTTATATTTGTTTTTGTTTCTAGTTTACATAGCTGAACTCCTCCATCGCCACACCCCAGCCAGGGCTTTAAGGTCGGCTGACCAGCTGTTGCTGATAGTGCCCAATACCAGGCTAAAAACCTGAGGGGAATGAGCCTTCGCAGCAGCTGGCCCTAGGCTCTGGAACAGTCTGCCCCTACATGTGAGGTCGGCCCAGATCCTAGGGGTTTTTAAATCTTCACTGAAGACACACTTCTTCTCTCTGGCCTTCTAGTCAGAGCGGAGCATGACACCTGACATTTCCCTGTGTTTTGTTTTTATATTTCTGTTGTAAATTCTTGTCTTTTCTTTCATATGTTATTGTAGAGTGCTTTTATTACATGTACAGCACGACCAAAAATCGTTTTTAAATGTGCTCTATAAATAAAACTTGATTTGATTTGATATACCTTTGAATAAAAAAAAGAAAAGAAAATATGTCCTCAAGCCAAGGTGCTTTGGGGGAATAGTACTTTGTGGCTAGCCCCAGGCAGACACATAGACATCTCATTAGATAGTATTTTCCCCTCAAAGCCCAAGTACTAACAGAGATTGTTCATTGTGGCTGGTTCCAGGCCTACATAGAGCAATATAATTAAATATTATATTGTCCTTAAAGCCCAGGTAGTTAGGGGGTATGTGTTATTGTGTCTGATCCCAGGCTTACATATACAGGGTTCTTACACCTTTTCCAAAGTCAAATTCAAGCACTTTTCAAGCATTTTCAAGGTGCATTTTCAAGCTTTTCAAGCATCTTACAGCTGTTGTAAATTACATATTTATATACACATACTTATACTCAAATGATTATTTCCCTACCTCACATTAAATCAGATGTTCTTTATGCTATAAACAACCAAATGTGTGTTTCATAATAGCATTCTACATGAGGATGAAAAATGAAAAATGTTAGAAAAGAAAACTAAGTTTAATATTTCAAAATGTGTGACCCATCTGTACGTAGACTGGGCATCCCATATAACCTGGCTGAGCCAATATAAAACAATCAGCCAAATAACTTTTCAATATATTATTGATTACTATTTTTGAGGTACTTTTAGGTTGGCAGTAAACACAAGTCAGAGGTAAATGGTGTACTTTGACTCCACTACATGTATTTAATACCTTTAGTTACTTTACAGATGTGGATGAATGATGTGAAATATAATCAAGTGTTAAATCAGACTTTAGTTCCACCTGGAGTAAATTCACAAGCTACTCTGTAGTATACAAAGTCATTCAAACTAGCTGCAACTTTACCAGCTTTGATAACACTTTCATGATCAATCATTATAAAACATATCATATACAATTATTAGGGATGCTCCGATCGCCAATTTTGGAGCCGATCGCCGGAATCAGTATCGGCCGATACCGATATCGCTCTCTTTTCCTCTCTCCCCCTCTCGCTCTCTCTCCTGACAGCCCGTCAGTATCTCCTGCAGCTCACTGATCCAGTAATGAGTGACCCGACAGTGAAGAATAAATATATTTATAACTAGTTTAGCTTGTTCCAGAGGTAGATAAAATAGCTAAGTGTGTTAGGTCTAACTCTTAATGTGTGTTCTGCTCCGCTCACCGGTCCGTCACAGCGGGTGGAGCTGCAGGATTTCTGCTTCACACACACGTTGCATACCGCTATTTTATTGTCATTTTCGGACACTTAAAATACTGCCAGACTAGTGAAGCCATTTTGGCGAGCTTGTTTTGCCGCGCACAGAGAAAAGTGTCATGTATTTTACATGCAACGATAGCCTAATCTAAAATGTTCTACTACAGCGTACCTTTGTGTGGTGTGTGGCTCGTCAGCGCAGACTCTTGCATCGTTATTGTTGCACACTTTGCAGGAGGCTACTCTTGGGCTTCGCTTGGTCTTAGCCATGGCTTGTATTTGTCTTCTGCTAGCCAACGCTCGTTGAAACGGCAACCTCCTGTCATACTGTCATCTATCACTCTCATCAGAATGCCCAGGTCACACACGTAACAAAAACACTTGCAGGTCACGCGCATAGAAGTCGGAAGGCCGGAGCGGAGCTGTTTTATGTAAAAGCGAAGCAATTAAGCGCGCTCCGACTTCTTTATTTTCTTTTAATCTAAAAAGCGAAGTAAAGCATTTACAATTTCAAGCACTTTATCCTAAATTCAAGCACCATTCCCAAAATTCAAGCACTTTTCAAACCTTGAAAACACCTCGTACAATTTCAAGCATTTTCAAGGATTTCCAGCACCCGTACGCACCCTGCATATAAGTAGTGTCACCAGTCAGTATATTGACCTCAATATATGGTAATTAAGGATGGGTCATGACCAAAATAACAAAATTGCGGGTACAACCGGACGAAATGGGCTAGCATCTCCCTTAGCCTGTAGTGGAAAACTTTATACAAGTGCATACTTAAAACTTTATATGTAATGGCAAACTCTATATGTAGTGCAAACGCTATATGTAGTGCAAACTTTATATGATGTGCAAACCAACTTTATGTGTTACCTAATATGGTAAAATACTATGCAGTAGTTCCATGAGGATGTATTTTAATTCATGTCCTCTGGTCAACATATGACTAACCTTAAGAATGTCTGGGGGTGAGACACAGTGTCGTGAGCAAAGGGTGAGGCACAGTGTCTCGAACAAGTTCCTGTGTTTGTTCCTTGTCCTACAATGAGTTCCTAAATTCTTAGTTATATCTGTCGTAACCTTACAATGAGTTCCTGCTGTCCTCACTTGTACCTGTCTTTGACCCACAATGTGTTCCTAATTTCAACACTTCCATCTGTCTTAAACCAGTTCCTGTTTGTAGCTAGTTCCTGATTTACTATATTGCCAATGTATGGTTTCTGTTCCTCTGGAAAGCGGGCGTAGCTTATCTATCCATCCAGCCCTGCCATAGTGACAGGTGACGAAGTGTTGTTGAACTGTCAAGATCCTATAAAACCTATACGCACTCTTGCCCCTGTGCGCACTCTTCCAGAATACTCTGTACTCCGTGAGACCTGTGCCTTATTTGAAGCTTCAAATAAAGAACCAGAAAGACAGCTCTGTTTCCACCATTTTATTGATTGATCATTGTGATTGTGTATCTCCAAAGTATTGACTAGGTCTAAGATTTCCAGAACAGCCTGTTAAGCCCGAGAGACCCCGGTAGCGGGGCACTCCCGCAACATCTTGCAGGAAACAGTGTCTGAGGGCATGTTCATTTAATAAACTATGAATGTTTTATGTCCATGTAACGGGAAGAAACTCATCTAACTGATCATTTTAATTATTTTTTCAAAAAGAAACCCACAATGCTAACGCTGAGCCTCTGAATTAGCAACGAGCGAAAAATGCTAACAGATTACTGCACCAAAATTCACTCACAAAACCTTATTATTGATCTTTTCTGCACATCCAACACATCGTTTCACATCGTGAGGTGACACAGAATCGATGGGTACCTACATTATCACTCAATGATACGAACTTGCGACTTTATAAACGAAAACAGACATCAAAACATGTGGCACTAGGTAGCTAAAAACGCTAACATGGTTTACCTGTGTCGTAGTCTGGTCAAAAGTGATCTTCAATGGCATTAAAACAATAAAAACGCTGCTGAAGTTAATCCATAGGTTAATCCAATGTGTCTGTGTCCCTTTGAAATGATTTCTGATAATCCATGAGCAATAAACCTGCTTTTCCGTTTCCAGATGTCAGAGCTAGAGTATAGGTTCGCTCT